CACCATACTAAGCCCTGAGAACAAGGCAAATCTTGTCTCAGGGAGTTTACACTCTAATGGGTAATGAGGGTGGGTGGGGTGGAAGAACACAATAAAGGGGAGCTAGAAAGGGAAGGGATATGTGTGTGACAGCAACTTGTTTGGAAATGGACAGGAAATGACTCAAGACTGGTTTTGGATTCACTTATCAGAGCCTAAAGACCCAGGAAGAGAGTCCAGATGGTTCCAGGGACAAGGAGGGTCAGAAAAATGGTTGGTGACTAAACAGTGTGGCCTGAAAATTGCTGTGCACTTGCGGGGGATGTGACCTAGGGAAATACCATAGAACCACTGCAGGCAGATTTCTATGTTCACTTGGAGTGCTGGCAAGGCTTCCAGAATCCCGTCTCCAACCTTCAGTCATTGCACCATTGATGTCTCTTTTACAAGTCATTTGCACTTGGGCACAATCATTCCAAAGGAAATCTCTCCCAAAGAGCCTGGCCTCAGCTGCCTCCCATGATCCAATTGGAGGAGGGAAGCTGACACCATTTTCTACCCAACCTCCATGCCACCCTGAGCCCATGACCTAACTAGGCATGACTGAACCTAGATTTGTGCCATCTCTTTTGTGTTTCTTTCCCTGAGTAGGTAACCAAGCGGCAATCTCAAGATGGATATGTCCAGGAAACAACCTTTTGGGCTCCAAAAGGTCTGAAGATCCCAGGAGATCTTTAAGGAGAAAGAACAGTAGATGACTGGAAGGTAAGTATCCAAATCAGAGAGATTAGACCAGTAGGACCAGTAGCATCTAGTTAGGACTGTGAGAGATACCCAGAGGACAGATGTAGCTATAGACACAGGGAGAAAACAGCTTCAAGGAGTGTGACCCTTTGAGTCAAAGATGAATGCCAGCTATGGATTCAAGAAAAAATGTCCAAGGAGCAGCTAGGTGGCACAGTGGATAGAGCTCTGGCCTTGGAGTCTGAAGGATGTGAGTTCAAATCCAGCCTCAGACACATGACACTTACTAGCTGTGTGACCCTGGACAAGTCACTTAACCCCAATTGCCTCACAAAAAAAAAAGAAAGAAAGAAAGAAAGAAAGAAAAGAAAAAGAAAGAAAGAAAGAAAGAAAGAAAGAAAGAAAGAAAGAAAGAAAGAAAGAAAGAAAAGAAAGAAAAGAAGTGTCCAGACCATAAAAGACCAGGGATTATGTTGCCCTTTGGGCACCTCACTATCACTGTAGGGCTCATTCTTCCTGTGGACACTGTGTATTTGTGAGAAAGCACGTACCAGGTTTCAGGGGGAATGCTTTATACCAATCGTTCTTGCTATGTCATTTGATTAAATGTCTTTGCTAGGAGCTAATTAGGTCTACCTGTTGCTAGTTAGTGGGGCTTGGGAAGTACAGAGTTAGTTTACTCCCACAGGGTTACCCCTAGAACTTTGAAGTCACCCCTCTGGGGACCTAATCTGTGAGTGGAAAGTAGGGGTTGAGGGAGTGGCCCAGGAGGAGGTGTTACACACACACACACAAGCACACCTTGATGATCCGACTCTTATCCCGTTTCCAATGCTATCTCTTTTACAAAGCTTTCCCCAGTTTTTTTTCTAGTCCCCAGGGGCACCCCCTGTCTGTGCCACGTGCAGTGTCACACCACCTCCCATTTGATGATATTTATCTGGCTGCTGATTGTGTGAGTTGCAGGATGCTAGAGCATAGCTGGAACCTAAGGTTTATCCAGCTCAGCCTCGTCATCCACAAGAGTAGCTTGAGGCACAAAACCCTGGACTTGACACACGGAATGGAGGAGGTCTGGAACTACAGTCAAGTTGTAAAGAGATTGACTTCTGAGTGGTTTGCCAAGAGAGCCACCACAGAGACAGAGCAAACTTTGAGCCAAGTTCTAAGGTGGCCACTGGGGTTATTATTGTCATCCTCCTTTCTGAATCCACAGACCACCTCTTCTGCTTACTGCTTTGAGTGTGTAACTTCTGCCGTCTGTGCCTCAGTTCCATCACCTGTAAAATGACGGGGCTGTCCCAGGTGATCTCTTAGGTCCCTTTCAGCTTTAAATCTATGGCTCTATAATATCGTTCCTCAAATTTCATGGAAGCCAAGGACGGATGTATTGAGCACGTTTTTGTACTCATATCATTTTGTGCTTCATAGAATCAAGTACATTTTTGTAATTTTTAAATTTTTTGTCTTTAGAAAGCAACTTATCTTTGAGGTTACCTTATTAGATAGATGACCAATATAAGAACATATCTCAAAGAATTTGGAAAAGGTAAGCATGCTAAAGATAGAGAGTAGTAGTATTATTTTGTATTTTACTTTTTGTATATCATTATAATTTAGATAATTATTGTTTAAAAATTGATAAGTAATATTCACATTAATAATCCTTCTCAAATTGCACAGAATTCCTACCATCTGTGACCTTAGTGAAGGTTTTAAGTAAATAAAAACAGCAAAAGAAAGTTCAGTATTTGATTACACACTTCTTGAAGTTTCTTTCTGAAAACAAATTTAATGAACTCATCCAAGGGTTAGGGCTCCCTAATGTACAGCCGACTTTGGAAAGGTGACAGTTATTCATTAGTGCATGTGAGCCAATCAAATACATTAGAATCCTATTTTCTTCTAATTGACTTGATCTAATCAGCTGCCCTGGGAAAGGGTACCAATCACCCATCTGCATCTGCTGAGTCCAAATTTGGAAAATGACAGCAAGCTCTCAGGTAGCTACTGCCATAAGACCATCAAAACAGGATGCCAGAGCCAGAGCCCCTTTCAAGCTCTTAATCAACCACTTTCCAAGTTAAGGCCCTGCCCCCAGGCAGAGTGGGAGGCTGCCTATGTGGGAGATATCAAGGGGACCCATTTCCCCTCTACCTCCCCCCTCCCCCCAAAATCATCTCAAATTCATTGACAGCTGCCTGAAATGCCATCATTAAAGCGTTAATGGCTTCAAGCTTCAACAGAATGCTTGTGATTGCTAAAGTGCTTTGAAAGATCTCTGAAAGATTCTGGAGAACAGAAAAGATGCCTCAGGACTAGAGAAGAAAAAATGTTCTGGTCTTCAAAAAACAGGAAAGAAAATTACATCTGCAAATGACAGTCTAGTGAACGTGATTGAGGTCACTGGTGAGATTCTATAATGTATTCGAGATGTAAGTGAACACGTAGGAAAAGAAGTGGTGATCACAAAGAGAGAGCAAGACTTCATTAAGAGAAGGTCATGACAGATTAACTTCGCTGTGTTTTTTTTTTATAGGGTACTAAACTGGCGGGTTGGGTATGATAGGATGAAGGTTCTTTATCAGTACTACTGAAAAATTATTGAGTCTTTAAAAGTTTGCCAATCCTGTCAGATAAATAATAAAGTATTATTCTCACTATTTTATGGAAGAGGAAACTGAAGTTTCAGTTTCAGTTATAGGTGTCAAATATGTGCCCCACAGGCCTGTATGAGGCTCAAACCAGATTAAAATGTAATTAAGAAATATTTAGCAAGATAGGTAAAAATACAATAAAACACAGATAATATTACATTTTGAATACAATTGATATAAGACTCTCAGGGATCCCTAAATAATGGATTAGTGGGCCCCATTTCTATTTGAGTTTGATACAACTGGCTTGAGCGATTTACCCAAGATCACACAGATAGGAAGTAGTAGAGTCAGGATTCAAACTCTCATGTCCCAACTCCTAGTCTACTTTGCTTCTCCACAAACACTAACAATCTCTACTCCACTTTGCCTCTCAATAAACAATTACTAAGGGGCAGCTAGGTGGCTGCTAGGTGGCAGCTATGTGGCACAGTGGATAAAGCACTGTCCCTGAAGTCAGGAGGATCTTAGTTCAAATCCAGACTCAAACACTAACTAGCTGCATGACCCTGAGCAAGTCACTTAACCCTAATTGCCTTCCCCTCAAAAAAAAAAATAATAATTACTAAATACCCATGGTGCGCAAGGTACTGTGGGATCTTGGTCATTTAGTGAGTGGTGCTACCTAAGGGGTACATAGACATAAGGTTAATCATTGGGACCATGAAGGGTTGAACACTATGGCCTACTTGGCTAAGTCAGTCATCAGAAAGTCAGAGTTTAGAACAGAGATATAGCCATCAGTCCAAGGCTCCAATCAAAGGAATCTATTGGACAGTGCCAAGAACTAAAGCCAAAGGGCAAATACAGCTTTGTTCTCTGGACAGCTGTTGAGCAGGTCTTGTAGCCCAAGGCAGACCTTGGCTCGTGCTGCCTGGTCTCCAGTCCCTTGTAGGACTTGCTTCCTAGACCTTTGCCATGACATGTCCAAAACTCATGGAATGGAGACAATAGTAGAAAGAGCCCTGGATCTGAGTTAGAAGACCTAAGCCCAAATTTCAAAATGTCACTTTCAACTTCTATGATCTCATTACTCTTCTTGAGGCCTCAACTTCTTGATCAGTAAAATGAAAGCCCACTGGACAATCTCAAAAATCCCTTTCAGCTCTAAATTCCTCAAATTCCTCAAAGTTCCTCCTGCTTCCTAAGGATCTCTTCTATGACTCTTCACATGGTGAAGTCCTTTTCAAAGTCCCTTAATTGCATTCCTATAATATTTTAAATAATAACAATATTATTTATGTATATATGGACATACAGGTATATATGTATGTGTGCATGTGTGTGAATATATAGCTCTTCACAATGTACAAAGTACTTTCCTCACAACAATATTGTGAGATAGGTAGTAAAAGTACTATTCTCATTTTACAGATAAGAAAATTTGAGACTTAGAAATGGATCAGGAAAATTAAACCCAGATCTTCGAGCTTCCATTCTAATACTCTTTTCGCTAAATCAAACTGCCTATTTTTAAACATATAGGGAAGCTATACTTCAATTATTCCCAACAAAGTAAGTAAAATGATGCTACCTCCCAATCCTACTTTCAACTTGGAGCCAATAAAAAAAATATTCCCTTATTCCAATGCCTTAGAAGCCCAGGGCAAAATTTCTTACCTGACACAGTCTGAGAATTCCTTGTCTACCAACTTGGAAGAAAACATTGGCTTCCCATCCTGCATCCGCTAAGTGGGGTACACTTTCCTTCTGACAACAGCAAAGGGGTCTCAGCTTTTGAAAACAGTTGCTTGAGAAAGAAGAAGAAAAAGAAGATATATACTTCTGTAAAGGAAAGACAATCTATGAGCAACAAACAGTTCCCACTCAAAGCAACATAAACCATTCTATGACATCACACATAGATTTTTGGCATCTCCATTCAGGATGGATGGGGGCAGGTAGTGGTTGGCACAAAGTAAATGTTCTCACTTTGCTGCTCCAGTGTCCCTCAGGCTGAACACAGTAGCTGTGGGGCAGGGGGAATCTGCTCGTTTTAATGAGACATAGTATCATAGGTTTAGACCTGGATGGTACCTTGGGGGTGATTTAGACCAACCTCTAATTTTGCAGATGAGGAAACTGAGGCACAGAAAAGATATTACCTGCCCAGGGCCACCCTGGTAGCAAGTGGCAGTCAGTCAATAAACATTGATTAAGTGCCTACAATGATCCAGGAGCTGTGATAAGTGCTGAGGATATAGAGTCAAAAGACAATCTCTGCCTTTCAAGGAGCTCACAGTCTAACGGAGAGCTGGGATTTATATACCACATCCTGTACACTGTACATTTAAGCTTCTTATAATATCATGGAAGGTCAGAGTCATCCAAGTTGATTCCTTATGAACAAAAAACTTGTTTTCTTCTGCATGCTCTATTTGCCTCACTAAACGTGGTTGGCCCAGGGGAATTTTTTTTTAAGTTCAAAAGTAACAAAGCCACTAGCTTCCCTTGTAGCTATCCCTTACAAGGCAAGTCTACTACACGTAGCACTCTGCTAGTTGTTGGATTAGATATAAAGAGGGGAAGAAGGCAAGTCACTTCCCTCACAAAGCTTAGACTCAGATAGGGGGAACGTGGCATACACAGCTAAGTATGATCCAAGATAGAATGTGATGGGGTCAGAGGAGAGAGTCAAACAAAATGCTCTAGGAAAATTTGAGGAAGGGAAGACCAAGACTGGCGTCTATGTCTTCAAAGTACTTACAACCTATTTTAAACATATTCGTAGGATTTGACTTTTAAAATCTGAGCTTATAGTTTTTCCATTTCTAGACTTGAAATTCAGGTTCCCAGGCCACTGGGGTTGTGACCACTGTGTGATAAGGGAAAGGTAGGAAGTAAATATTTATGTACTTGTGCCAGGCATTGGGCTAATCACCTTTTACAAATATTATCTCATTTGATCATGACAACAACCCTGGGAGTCACCTACTATTAGTGAGCCTATTTCACAGTTAAGGAAACTGAGGCAAACAAAAGTTGAGTGACTTGCCTAGGGTTGTACAGCTAATAAGTGAGATTGGATGTGGACTCTGGTCTTCTAAATTCCTGGCTCAGCACTCTAACCAATGAGCCACCTAATTGCCTAACAGCAATTTCTTACAGAGAGCTGGCTCCATACATAGAACTTAGAATGGCAGTGGGGCTCCTTCCTCTAAACAGGGTTTGCCCTGAGACAGGGCCAGCTTAAATTCCACAGTATAGCCCATGTCCCTTTTTTTTACTACCCCAGAGCATGATATGGTGGATTATAGGATCAGAGATAAGAGCTGATGATGACCTTGGATGTCACAGAGTTCAATACTGTCATTTTACGGGTGAGGACACTGTGGTCACACAGCTAGTAGGTCTATGAGGAAGAGAATCCAGGTCTTCAGAAAGGCAACTGGTCTTAAGGAAGCCTGGATTTGAGTTCTGAAGCTGAACTGTGGGTAAATCACTTCACTCTCCCCACCCCACCCCACCCCATTCCTTTTTTAGCTTCAGTTTCCTCATCTGTAAAATATGATATTATTGTATTACCTACCTCCCAGGGTTACTGTGATGACAGCACATTATAAATTATAAATCTGTCTATAATTTCAGGCCAGGATTTGTATAACACCTTTTCCCTCTTCTTGGTTTTTAGGAGAATGTTTGCACCTTTCCTCTGTCCTTTGAAAGAGAGTCTCTTTTGGTCTTGAAGAATGAGAAGAATCCTTCCTTTCTAAGCCTATTGTTGTCCTCTCATACACACACAAATGGAATCTACCTAGCCCACTTTTCCAGGGTTATTGCAACTTTTTGTGGGCCATGCCAGGTTTCTCTGCTTCTCTAGGCCTTTTCTGAGAGGCAGCATCAAATGTAAATAGAAAATGGAGCCACTAAACGGTACATAAGGAGCCCTGCAGGCTTTGTTAGAAAACCACAGTTAACATTATCTATGTTCTATTGTAATTTTTGTTAAATATTTCCCAATTCCATTTTAATCTGGTTCCTTCCCTTGTTTGATACCTCTACTCCACAACCAGGTCCCCATTTCTTTCCCCAATCAATCAATAAGCATTTATTAGTCACTTTTCTATGTGCCTGGTACTGAGCTGAGTGCTACAGATACAAAGAAAGGGGTAAAAAAAGGACAACAATCCCTGCCCTCAAGGTGCTTATGTTCTAATGGGAAAGACAATATGTGTATACATAAGCATATATGAGATATGTAGAGCAGATGGAAGATAAACTTAGGAAAGGTGGCTTTAGCAGCTGGGGAGAACAGAAAAGTCCTCCTTCGGGAGTTAGGATTTGAGCTGATTCTTGAAGGAAGCCAGGGATTCTAAGGTGAAGGAGAAGAAAGAGGGTGGTCCAGGCATGAAGAAGCAGTCAGTTCCAGGGCACTGCCATGGAGTGCCTCCCTTGACATTTTCATCTTTTCTTTATCTGCATTCATCTTCCCCCTAGCCCTGGGTAGAAATTGCTCAATCTCACAAGAAGATTTTCCTTTATAGCTGGGAATGTCCAAACTTCCTTTTACAAAGACATATGACTTCCCAGTCCCACTTTCTTTGTTTTAGCATGGAAATAGTCCCTAGAAAGCAAAGATCAAAACTGGTGACTGTCTTTGAGTCCACCCTCCCTCTACCCCCAGCCCTCAACCAATAAACATTATCAAACACTAGACTTCCTGGGGGACACTGAGGGAAGTGTATCTCCAATGTACATTGGTAACCAACTGGGAAAAGGAATATAGGCACAATTTTCCTTTCATCTTTAACTTCAAGCAAAAAAACCCCAGGAACAATAATAACAAAAGCCAAGGGACCCTTTTATTCCATAAGCAAAATATTATAAATGCAATTTTGTGACTTTTGTGATCTAGGAAAATCATTTCCTTCTTTAGCCTCAGTTTCTTTATCTGAAAAGTGAGCAGGCTGGATTCTGTGATCTGGAAGCAATTTTCACTCTAAATGGTAGCATGGCATCATGGGGAAGCCACTGACTAGGAGGGCAGAGACTGGAAAGGTTCAGTCGCAGGCTCCTTCTCTAATCACCTGGTTTAAATGACTTTGGACAAGTCATCTGCAGTCTCTGGGCCTCACTGTCCTTATCTGTAAAAGTGACCAGGTTTGAACTAAGTCATTTCTAAGGTTCCTTTTGGTTCCAAAATGCTAAGATTCTAGGAGGCTGAGCTTGAGGGAAAGCCAGGAGGAGGATGTGAGAGGAGGAGGGTGGGGTGGATATTTCTGGGCAGGGGGAATGGAATGAGTGAGGCCTGAGAGTTAAGAGTTAGCATGTTCAAGGGACAATCTAGCAGATCAATTTTCCAGCTCAACCTTAGAACAAAACTTAAATTTTCCCAAATAGCTGTGAAGTTGAAGTACCAGATTCTGAATGACACATAAAAGCAACACATGTAACCACTTATAGGCCAATTAATATCCGGGGCTGGAGTGGGCTGAGGGGTGAAGGGTAGCTGCCAGGGCTGAATTTATCGCAGAGAATGATGGCTATACTTCCGGCCCGAGAGCTGAAATGGGCTATTATGTGTCATCAGGAAACTCAAGAAAGGGGAAAAAAACAATCCATGATCAAAGTCCCTTTTGTCAACTTCTAACACATTAATAGATGGCAGATTTTGCACTTAGCATTCTGGCTGAGAGGGCAAGGCTGGAGGCATGGGGTTTAGTGAGGGTTGGGTTTTTCCCCTTCTCACTATTCTGTAGACCAATAAGGAGGTCACTCTCTGATTGCCCACCTTCACCTCGAGGTCAACCAGAGGAGGCTGGCCTTCAGTGTGTGTGTGTGTGGGGGGGGGAAACGAGCAAGATCGGTGGCAGAATAGTTGGAGGTGGAATTCCCCACCTTGAAAAACACCTCTCCACTGCCAATCCCAGGCACCCAAGGCCCAGTCTCTACCCCAAAACTAGACTAGACTTGGCAACATAAATAAAAAGGATCACTCACATTTCTATAGCTTCAAAGTTTACAAAGTTATTTACATAACTATTGAATTTGTTGGTCAGGCATTCAATCAACAAGCATTTATTGGCACTTACTGCATTCCAAGCATTATGCTAAGCAATAAAAATAGAAAGAAAGGCAAAAAAAAAAAAAGGTCTTTGCCCTCAAGAAATCATATTCTAATGGGAGCAACAAAAAATTAAAAAAATTGTGTATCTAAGACACATACAATATAGATGGAAGGTGATCTCAGAGGAGCTCATTTTACAGATGATGAAATTAGAACTCACAGACATGAAACTGACTTGTCCAGGACCACATAGTTAATAAATATTGGAGGCAAGGTTTGACCAGATCTTCTGGACTTTAAATCCAATACTCTGTTGACTGGGCAACACTACTTCTGCCCCATTCTCAGGGAACTTTTCTTCCAGGAAGCATTATCACAACATACTAATAACTAGGTTGCATAGAGGACTGAACGCTAGCCCTGGAGTCAGTAAGATCTGAGTTTGAAGCCTACTCGAGACAATAGCTGTGTGACCCTAGGTAAGTCATTTAACCTCTGTTTGCCTCAGTTTCCTTGCCTGTAAAATGGGGATAATAATAGAGCCTTCTTCCCAGGGCTGTTTTGATGATAAAATGAGATAACATTTGTAAAGTGCTTTGTGAACTTTAAAGCACTATACAAATGTTCTCTATTATAATGACTCAGATTTATATAGTACTTCAAGCCCATTCCTCATAATAAGCCTGTGAGATAAGTAGGATAGGTATGAGTAGCACTGTTTAATGGAAAAGCAAACAGGTTCAAAGAGGCTCAGTGACCAGCCCAGTGTGCCACAGTCACTCAGGGTCAGAGATGAGATTTCAGCCCAGCTCCTGACTCTTCATCCAAGCAATCCTTTCATTACCTCACACTGCCCACCTAGCCTCAGCCAGATGAAACCAAGAGTCATTGTGAGATCCCAGAAAGTGACACGAGCTTGCTTTCTTTCTTTCTTTCTTTCTTTCTTTCTTTCTTTCTTTCTTTCTTTCTTTCTTTCTTTCTTCCTTCCTTCCTTCCTTTCTTTCTTTCTTTCTTTCTTTCTTTCTTTCTTTCTTTCTTTCTTCTTCTTCTTCCTTCCTTCCTTCCTTTCTTTCTTTCTTTCTTTCTTTCTTTCTTTCTTTCTTTCTTTCTTTCTTTCTTTCTTTCTTTTTCTTCCTTCCTTCTTTCCATCTCTTTCTTTCCTTCCTTCCCTCTTTCTTTCTCTTCTTCCTTCTCTCTCTCTCTCTCTCTCTCTCTCTCTCTCTCTCTCTCTCTCCTCTCTCTCTCTCTCTCTCTCCCTCTCCCTCTCTCTCTCGCTCCCTCTCAATCTCTGGCTCTCTCTTTCTCTGGCTCTCTGGCTCTGTCTCTTTCTATCTCTATCTCATAACTACACATGCAGTCCTCCATAGGAAGATTACCTTTCTAGCCACACAGTTGTTGACTCAGTCTGGTTGTTTCCTTGGTTGAAAGACCTCAGATGCCTTGCTACAGCAGGGACCACAAAGGCATACTCTGTTGGATGTTAAGTAAACAAACTTTTGAGTCTGCGTTTTATTGGTTCCATACCATCTGCCATCTGGTTGGAAGGCAGGAGGGGTGGGGAAAACCATGTTAAGTTCCCCCCCTTTTTTTTTTTCCTTTTCCCCATGAAAATATTCTAAGGTTGAGATCTGGCAGCATCACAGTGTGGTTAAAAACCGCCTAGTTTCCTATGTGGTGAACAACACAGGAAAACGGCTTAACTTGCAGCTAAATGTTGGAGGATGGTTTGGGTCCTCCATCTGCTAGGCAGCCTGTTCTGCGAAAACTAAAGAAACACATATGCAAATATCTACAGCTCTGCTTCCAAGATCTAAAGAATTGTTGTGATGTAACTGCAAGAAGTGGTTAGTTAATGCTGACAAGATGCGCTCAGACCAAAGGCGAGGGCACCGCATATGGTAACATGACTTCTGAAAACTGAAGCCAGCGGCACCCTTGGGCTCTAATGAAAAGCAGGCTCCTCCTTGAAGACTTGGGAGCCACCAAACTTGTAATGACTAGAAAAATGGAAAGGATATACATATTGGGACAACAATTCCAGGTTCCCACCCTGCCACAGATCTTTACTCTGTGAAAGCGATGGTGGGAGGGGAGGGGAGGGGATATCCTAGCCAGGCAGCCCACTCCCTTTGGTCTGCCCAGCTGGCCTAGGCCAGTGGGGCCTACAATCCATCATCTGCAAAGGAGGGAAAGGACTCAAGTGGACAAAGAGAAGACTCCATTAAGGCTAGTTAATGCAAACCAGCTCGTCTTGAAATCTGGCTCCAAGTGCTTTCTGACCATTAGAGTTTCCTGGAGGAATAGAGTTAGGAGGCTGTTGGAGCATTAGTGTTAGTCAGTGAAATTTCTACCCTATGCTTACTAGCTTTGTACCCCTGGGCATGTCACTGCATCTGTCTTATTCTCGGTTTCTTCATCTGTAAAATGGGGAAAACAATAATGCCTTCTCTACCTGTCCCACAGGGAGGTTGCTGTTGTTTGGTCTGGACTTCTGACTTTGTTGGGATGTGGAACTCTCAGCATGGAACCCTTCACTGGCACTTCCCTGAAGCTTTTAAACTTAGAGGGTTTCCTGGGGGCACTGATAAGTTAAATGTCTTGTCCATCATCAGAAACTGGACTTACACATAGGGCCTTCTTGGCTCCAAAACTGAGCCTCTACTTACTATACCATTGCTGCTTCTAAGATAATGTAGATGGAAATATTTTGTAATTAATTTTAAAGAGTCAAATGTAAGGCATCACCATCATCATTATTCTTTACTATAATCATCACTAGTTTTGATTTCACAGGAAGGTGCCAGGAGCCAGCAAAGTCCCACAGAGGGCTAGTCCTACCTGACTCATCTAAAATATGGAAAGCCTTTTCTCTGAAAAGTGAATAATAACTTCCCACTCTTTGCAGGCTGAGGCGTGGTAAGGCATTTAACTGTTTTTTACCTTTTGTTCTCAAACTCTGCCCTTTCTGCCTCACAGAGGACAGAATTTCGTGGCAATAGGTTGTAAGTAGGGGTGGGAAGCAAGGAATAAGATAAGGAACAGAGAAAACAGACAAGAAAGGATGCCCTTCAGAGAGAGCTTATAACAGTGCAACTTGAAATTTGCAAGAGAACAGACTGTATGCAAATTAGATTGAAATTAAGCAAAAACACTCGAGATCTTCTTGCAAAAATAATATCTGGCATTTGTGTGATGCTTTACACTTGGCAAAGCACTCTCCCATCCATTGTTTGATCTTCACCACCACCCTGTGAAGTAGGCAAGGCAGGTCATCTTATTCCCATTTTACAGAGAAGTAAACAACCTGAGAGAATGGAAGTGGCCCATCCAAAATGCAGAGAAAGGACTTGAAACCAGGGCTCCTGACTTTCCTCTCATTGTTTTTTCTGTGGTTCTTCTAGCTATTCTCTATGTCTGGTTGGTGTCCTCAGGAAAATCGAAAGGGGCCTCCTAGATAACATGGTGGTCAGAAGGGAGAGGTGATGACACTCATATCCTCAATTACGGTTTTGGTCTGAGAACTGATCTTTTTTTCTCCAAAATGGACAAGAATTAGCTGAAGGATCAGACAACTCTTACTACAAGCCCAAACCAGTCATTGGGGTTGGAAAAGTCCATGATTCTTCCACCTTTATGGCCATAAAAATGTTTATGAATAACAATAAATAGAAATGTTCAACAACAAACTCGAAGAAAATTTACCAAGATGCCTACTTCATTCTAGACACTGAATGGTATACATTAGTAAATAAGATGTAGACCCTACCTTCAAGGAGTTTCCTTTCAAGGAAAAGGAAAGTAGGAAATGTTCACAAGTAACTATATGCAAACTAGACCACAATGAGTGCCATATAGAGATTAAAAAATGTCATAAGCAATACCAATAACTCACATTTACAGCATCCTTCAAGGTTCTTCAAAGTATTTTGACTACATGGATCTTACCATGTCAACCCCAGCCTTACCCCATTCAATCAACTCCTATTGCCTCCAGGATAAGATAAGAAGTCTTATGTTTGGCATTCAAAGCCATTCATAAGAAGGCCTCTTACTGCCTTTCCAGTCTTCCATGGACTCTGCAATCCTATCACACTGGCTTCCTTGCTATTCCTAATATTAATAATTTTAGTAATAATAGTGATGAAAATATTGTACTGTTTCTCATATTAGACACTCCATCTCCCAAATCCATGAATTTTCACCAGCTGTCCACCATGCCTAGAATTCTCACCTTCTATGTCTTGACCTCTTCCTTCAAGTCTCACCTAATACCCCACCTTATACAAGAAGCTTTTCCCAGTCTCATTTTAATGTGCCTTCCCTCTGAGATTATTTCCAGTTCTCTTGTGTATATTTTGTTTTTACACAGTTGCATGCATGTTGTCACCCATAGTAGGTTGACGGAGACTTTCATTTAGTTATTTATTTATTTTTGCTTTTCTTTGTATTGCCAGTGCTCAGCACAGTGACTGGCACATAGTAGGCTCTTCATAAAGTTTGGTTGAGTTGACTTTTGATCCTTAAGACAGTCCTGTGAGAAAAGTGCTATTATCACCCCTGTTCTTGACAAACTCACAAAGGTTACGTGACATACCCAAAGTTAACTAGCTAGTGTCTCGGATAGTATTCAAACCCAGCTCTTTCTGATTCCAACCCTAATGCTTTATCCACTACGGTACCTCAATCCAAGAAGGCAAAACCTTCTCTCCCTAAAAATCTCACCTCAAAAGCCAGGGTATAACAGAGGGAAAAAAGCACTAGAATAAGAGTGGGGACACCCAGGTTCTGAAACTCTTGGCCTTGCTATTCATTAGCAGCGTGTTGTTAGGAATTCATTTTCCCTCTCTGGTCCTCAGTCTCCTCATCTGCAAAATGAAGGGGTACTTTCATCTATTTTACATGATCTCTCAGATCCCTTTCAGCTCTAACATTCTATGATTCTGTATTCATTAGATTCTGGAAATAAATCCCTGAAAACTCCCTACAGGAGGACAGAACTGGGCTCCATTCCATTTCCTGTGCTTTTATTTGTCCCATAAATCCCAAGATAAGAACTTCTGACAATCCTCACCTATTTCCCTTGTCAGGCATTTAAGCAACATCATGAGCCCATGAGTCTAACGAGACCCACAGTCAGGGTTGAAGGTTAAACTCTGGGCTACAAGCCAAGCTTTCAGAAAAGGCTTCACTCTAAACTTTTGTCAGTTGCCAGATAATCAGATTTTTTATAGAGAGCTGTTCTCTCCCATGATTAGTACCCCTTTCCACTTTGGGGACCCTCCTTGGAAAACGCAGGAACGGTCACTCACATGGATGGATGTGCCAGGATGGGGAGAGGGGTGGTGAGACAGGATTGTGAAAAGGAGCCCATGAGAGGAATATCATAGAATCACAGAGGCAGAAGGGAGCTTAGAAGTTCAAGCCTCATCTAGGGAGGAGGGAACTGAAGCTCAGAGAAAGGAAGTAATTTGTTCAAAGTCCCACAGCTTGGCCTGTCTGAATCAAAACCAGAAGCTAGGTACCCTGATTCTAAATGTGCTGTTCTTTCTATACCACCACAAACTAGAAATCGCAGTTCTTATTAGCTGTGAGGAACTTACAGTCTAAGGGAATAGACAAAAATACATGATGAATAAATAGAAGTTGGAAAAAAAATTCCCAATGGTAAAAACAAGGACATGACTAATTACTGCCTCCCAGGTCTGCATGTTTCAGTTTTGAGGGTGTTGCTAGAATGAATGGAGTGATGAGTAGCCAAACAAGGTTAGACCAGGAGAGTTTCTTGGAGGAAGTAAGTTTAGAAGATGTGGGAATAATGGTACCAGCCAGTGTGGCTTACTGTACTTTAGAAGCTCTGTCTGCAAAGCTGGTAAGGGAGAGAAGAGTGTGGCATTGGAGAGAAGAACTCTGGCCTGGAAGTCAGGAGATGTAGGTACTTTCAAGCCCTACCCTAGTCTCTGTGTGAGCTTAGACAAGTCATGCCACCTTTTTCTTTCTTCCTTTTTTTTTTAGGCAATTGGGGTTAAGTGACTTGCCCAAGGTCACACAGCTAGTAAGTGTCAAGTGTTTTGTCTGAGGCCAGATTTGAACTCAGGTCCTCCTGACTTCAGGGCCGGTGCTCTATCTATTGCGCCACCTAGCTTCCCCACCATGCCAGCTTTCTAAGCCTCACTTGATTTCTTTGAAAAATGAGATAGGTAGAGCAGATGATCATAAATGTCCTTCTTCCCAGCTCTTGTATTTCATGACTAAAATAAAAGGTTGGAAACTACTTTGAAAATGTAGTAAGTGCTGTATGCAGGGGAATGATTGCCATCATCAGTAGGTTTCATTTAGTTGTTACTTTTTTTTTAATAGAGTATGACTTGCCACTCAAGTTTCCTCATGACTGGCAAATACTTAGCATCCTGTTTTGTACAAGTCTGGCTAATACAGAATCCACCCTATTTG